CTCCCTAGGGCTAGCAAGATTTCTTGTAAGTTGAATGAGAGTTGTATTTCACAGATGCCAGTGAGTGTCAAATACCAGCAGAGGAAACGCACTGGGTCCTGAGATTCTCACAAGTTATTCTTCCAAAGAAGCAAGGACGTATTTGTTTATAGCTTGAACTGTTTGTATTTTTGTTTTTGTTTTTGAAATTATATTTGCTGTCTACTACACAGAGGAAATGCTTGTGTGTTCCCCCAGGCTGAGAACATGTTTGATTCGGCACATTGTAAAACATCAAGTCTCCTAAATATGCTTCATTCCTATATTGCAACCTGATGCGTATGGAAGCCTCTTTTCTTCCTTCTCTGAGTGGCACTAAAGAAAGTCAGGAACAAAGAGCCCTGAAAGAATGCATTTGGATCTCTGTTGCTTTTTCCATGAGAAATTAGCTCCTTGACTCTAACCTGGGAAATTGTGCCTTATGCTAACATTTGTGAAGTAGTAACAGGCTAATTAATTACCTTATAAGATCTTTATATGATCCTTATAATTACTTTAAAATCTTAGACTATCCAAAGTTCTCCTTACAAAGAATTCCAATGTAAAACTCTACTATTCTAGCACAGGAAAGCAATGGAAACCCTAAAAGTCATTGATATTCAAGCGTTTAAATATTCTTTTTTCACAGATCCCATCTAATACACAAGGCATAAGTATGGTCTGATCTTTTATCTTCTCTTTCTAGTGATCTTGCATGTTGAGGTTGCAGGCAGTTCTGATTACTGGGAATCCTGGATGGAACAAAAACTGAATGCACCCAGCTGTCTGTCCTGCACAGAGTGGCTGCTGTCCATGTTTCTGGGCCTTCTTTATTACATCAGTTCTTTCAATCTCTCATACAACTGGCATTTCCCATTTTAAAAAGGCTAATTAGACCCTACAGTTTGTGTTGTCCTCTTGATTGAAGATCGGTCCCACTCTCCAATTAGAAAAACGAGGCCTGCCGAGCCTGTAGATTTTCTATCTGTTTCCATTGATATAGATGTGCTGATACTTATATCTGGGTTTTGTGAGATGATGTGTTTCTATCTGTGCTCCGTTATACTCTTATCACCAAAACACTTCATAATAAATGCGATTCATGATTTACATATTCCAAAAAGCCATTCTGCAGTCCTCTGTCTTTCTCTGAGCGATACTGGAAAAGTTAAAATGATTTTGATACTTTCATCATAGTTAAATACAATCACACACACATATATATGTAATGTACACATTACTTGGAAAATAATGTAAAAACTATTATCCAAAGTCACAAAACAGTGTTGAGATTCTAGACAGAAAGTAGTTCAAAAGATTGAATAATCATTTTCATATATATCCTCTAAATATGCTCTCTAAATTTTATCCTTAATATCCTGGTGCTGAACTCTTTACCAGCAATCCATATTGTTTGAAAACTTACATCGTGGTTGAGTCAGTCTGCAACATCAAATTTATACTTTGTTTTGAAAACTAGAGATTTATTCATTATCAAGCTAACAGAAAAGCAAAAGTGAGATTCAGTAGAACTAGGATAAGAATTCATATCTGTCACATAATCAAGACCGAGTCAGTTAATAATAGAAAACCATTCACTTTCACAAGCTATGTTCTCAAACATATTCATATAATACATGGTCTAAAAACTTGAGATATATTCACATACACCTGAATGTAAAACAAGTGTAGCCTGTTAGGGCAAGGCCCTTGCATTGCTCCTTGCCTGTTTTGTGCTATAAGAGAACACTTGCAGTTGCCCATTTTATACTGAGTGGAAATATATCAGTTCCTAATTCTGGACACTGACAATCTGATGAGCAACTTCTTGTTGAATCATAATATGGGAAAATTAGCACATGATGCAAAGAAAATATAAGGGCAGGTGAAATAGAAAGCCATTGCCCTCATCATTAGCTCATGGATGACAGTGGAACCTGAAGGCCCAGTCACTACTTAAGAGGGAATAATCAAGAATTGATTAAATGTTGAGTAAATCATGATACTCTCTAAAAAGATGGTATAAACCAGGAGAGAAAGAAATTTAGAACAGCATCAATTCAAGAATTCTGATTTGGCCATGCGAACTTCAGAATCCAGTAAGACATGGGGACATTTGAAAAAACTGATTGAATTCTGAAGTCTTTATCATACGAATTGATCAAAACTGAAGTCACACTTCGTGCAAGGTCGTTTTATACCAGCTTTTAGAGATTGATGTCCTGGAAGAAATCCAATAAATATTACCCCATTTCCATTCTAGAATCCAAAATCAATTCAAAAACTTAACCAGAATATTTTCTCACTGTTTTATTTCTAAAATTTTAAGCCTTCTTTTCTTTAATTTTGTTTATGGTTAATGTGACATTCATACAAATAAATGAGATTCATTTACTCATAGATAGCATTCATGAATTATAATGATCAAAGGAAAACAAGAGAAATATTAAAATATGGTACTAATAATTTAATTCTATGCCTTTTAATGTCCAAATCTTAATTCCCATTTTTAATTCTGTTTTTCATGAAATTTTGAAATTTAAATATGAAACTAAAAATATACATTTATTCCCTGCTGTATCTCTTGGTTTTGACAGTCCTGACAATAAGCATATGTTTAAATATTTGAAAAGTTATTGTTTGTATTTTTTTCCGATTTTAAAGAAGAGTCATTTAATTGCTTTACCATATAATCTCAAATACAGTAAAGCACCAACTTTTTTAAACTGTCAAACATTCCTTCTGTCATGAGGATGAAATGTTTTCATTATTTTATAAATTTTGTTTTAAAACAATAAAAATTAGAAGCTTAAATTTTGAGAGAGATATGGCTCTTTGTGCTACAACAGAAAATTCTCCTACCAAGTCTGACACCTTTTATTGACACACTCTACTAGGAACAGATTGGAAACAATCTTTTGTTTCCCACGATTTGTTGTCATTTTAATGTACTGATCTGATGCCATACATTTATAAATCGCTTTGTCCAAACTTGCTAAACTACACATTCAATGCAATTTACATTTTCTGTTTCTCTGGTTAGGCCAAATTTACAGAACATAAGGTAACAGGTAAATCTTAAGAACTTTTATGTTTTGAACTCTCTATGTCCATGAAGTATCTGCGAAGCAAGTTAGGGCCCGAGGAATGGTAGCGCCCTCTGTGGCTACACGAGGGATGGTAGTGCCCTGTGCAGCCACAAGCTGTAAGCAATTTTGACAGCTTAACAAGCATCCATCACACCTGTCCACCCGAAGTAATTCATCACTAAACGTTGCTGAGCATTTGACGTATATACCACTTCCAATAACTACGCTGCTTAACAATGCATTATTATTACTATTGTTATTCATATTAGAAAACACGGGAAAGACTTCCTTCTCCTCCCAGATAGCAGGCTAACTCCTCACACCCAGATTCCCAAAACAGTGAGTCTTCAAGGAGATAGCTTCACTTAATCTATTTCTTAACCAACACATGCAATTTAATTTAATTGGAAAATGCCGTTGGTAAGCATAATGTTTAGGCTTTTAATTGTACTGTTTCACTGGCTCACTGTTTAACAATTTGCTTAACAAAATTCAAGGTAGGGCTTTCTGCACACAAAGCACTTCACAAACAAGTCTCTTGTATCAAAGTCAAAATTGCCAAGGCAGGGGTGTTTGTTTTGCACAGTGGTTAAGACAAACTTGGGATACTTTCATTCCAGATTGGGATGCAGCACCAGGTCCATGCCCTGGCTTTGCTGCTGAGTCCAATGCACTGTTAACACAAATCCTAGGAAGTTGATGGCTCCAGTAGTTGAATCCTTTCTACTCACTTGGAGAACCAGGTTCCAGGTTCCGGATATCAGCCTTTTGCAATACGCACTATAGGAAGAAATTGGGAACCAACAGACAATCATCTCTGCCTCTGATCAAATAAATACCTCAAAAAGTCCATCTTTCTCACTGTAAAACTTCATACCATCTAGATAATATTAAGCTTTTATATCCTTTTGCATACATTCATATATGTTTTTTAAGATTTATTTTATTTTTATTTTTTTATTGGAAAGGCGGATATACAGAGAGGAGAGACAGAGAGGAAGATCTTCCGTCCCATGATTCACTTCCCAAGTGAGCACAATGGCCAATGCTATGCCCATCCAAAGCCAGGAGCCTCTTCCGGGTCTCCCACGCTGGTGCAGGGTCCCAAAGCTTTGGGCTGTCCTCGACTGCTTTCCCAGGCCACAGGCAGGGAGCTGGAAGGGAAGCGGGGCTGCGGGGATAGAACCGGCGCCCATATGGAATCCTGGGCATGCAAGGCGAGGACTTAACCACTTGCGCCACCGCGCTGGGCCCCACATACATTCATATATGTTTTAGAATAAACGACATAGAACAGAGATGGAGACAATATAGGAGAGTGATATCTATATTATAACTCCCATAATATAGCCAAAAAGTGAATAAGATGCTAAATAATGTTAAAATTTTGAACAAATGTACTGGTGAATTTCTTTGCTAAGTTTTGTTTAATGCCTCTACAGGAGTAGTTTCTGTTGAGAACAAATCACATTTACCTCAAGCCTGAGGAGGATGGGTGAGATCAGCACTGATTCCTGTAAGGAATGCCTAAGTGTGAAACAGGAAAAGGTGCTACTTAATTTTTCATAACAGACTACTAGTTATCTCTGATAAAACCCAAAAGGGACAATCTGCTTTTTCACAAATCTTTGATGAATATAGATTGTGATACCGTGTGATTGCATCATGTACCATCATGAAACATTGTCATACGTTTGGATAGCAGCAGTTTGTACAGCATGTGGAAGTTTTCAGAGTATTTTTCAGCCAATGATAATTATCCTCATCTACATTGTGCAAATCAATGATGTTGCACTTAAAATAGATCTGGTATTTTAATAAGCTAAGGAGAACACTTACAAAAATAAATGTTTTCAAAATAAACAATGATTCCTAAGCTGATGATTTTGTGACTTCTTCAGTAAATATTGTTAAAACTGGAAACATTATCAATGAGCTATAACATTTGTTCACATTAGTAGTTTTTTATATGTCATTTGTAGCTTTATTACCTCATCGAATCAAGAGAACAATCAAAATCTCCTAAGGCCAGTTGGATATGCAAATATACGTAGTTTCAGCATATTTTAGAGCTGTGTTAATAAAAAGATATCACTACACTAAATTGCTTAAATGCAGCTTAATCTGAACCGATTTTGTAAAAGTTGTAAGGTGAATGAATGCCAAGCTACTTTTAGATTTAATAGCTTCTGGGACCCTGGGATCTGATTTCCCAATGGGCAATACTCTAAAGGACTGGAAATGCTGCAATCCTTTTTTTCTAGTGAAAAACAGAATTTGAGAATAATGATTCCCAAACAGCAGGAGTGTTTAATTAAATTAAAGCACTGAGTCAGGAGAACAAGAATCGTCCTATTAACATCAAGAGAAAACAAGGTTTGAACATTAGTTTAAAAATAAAAAGCCTTTTGCAAGATAACAGGAACTGAAGTAAGAATACTTTAAATATACTGTTTAATATTATTTGTATCAAATTATAATAATGAAGTACTAACGCTGATGATTACATTTAAATTCAAACTACTAATGATCAAAGTGTAAACTAATTTTCTCCTATGGAAAAAATTTAAATAGTTATTTCTAGTTGAAAGGCACAGTTTTGCAGAGAGAAAAGGAGAGATGGGGAAGTGACATCTTCCATTCAAAGATTCACTACCCAACTGGTGACAAATGCCAGATTGGAGGCAATCGGAAGCCAGGAATCAGGAGTTTCTTCCATGTTTCCCAAAGACGTGGTGCATTTTTCACTATGTAGCCAGGCCATAACCAGGGAGCTAGATCAGAAATGGGACAGCCAGGACACAAAATATTGTACACATGGGATGTCTGCCCTGTGGCTGGAGAATAAGTGTGCTATGTCACCATCCTGTCCCCTATGTTTGTTGCTTTTTTTCCCTATTTTTGTATATTTAATTGGTAAGTAGAGTCATTTCTCTATATCTGATATGTATGTCGAGTAAACACATAAACGATGAAATTACTCTCTAACATAATTATGTAACAGCATCTCTGCCATCACTCACTCTTAGTTACAGATGTTTGAAGTAGCGTGAGGCTGCATGATAATGTATATTCCATATTTTACTATTCCTTTCAAGCATAAATAATGAAATTATATAACCTAAGGGACACTGCCAATCTAAAAATATCATTATTTTTTAAGTTTCCTGTTGACTTTTTTTAGATAGAAGTTTTGAGAATTATCTCAAATTTATTTCTTGGAATGAGTATTCTAATTTCTAACTGTACTAGTTAGAAATAGTTCTGTTCCTCATTAAAAAGTGTATTCAAAGCATAAGCAAATAGCGTTTACATAAAGGGTATGTAAAGACTATATGGATGATAATAATTATTATTTTCATTGCTGCCAATGGCCTAGGAAGAAGAAGGATAAATGTGTTAAAAACTATTTTGTTTAGGCCACTGGACGCTAAACTCAGCATGATTTTTCAATTCAATAAACAGTGGGAGACAACAAGCAATAATGAGGTACAATAAGATCATTAAATCACTTGTAAAATTGTTTTCTTTTCATTTGTTTTTCTTTCCCCTTTGGCCATTTAAGTCCATAATTGAGTGCTGTTAAAAAAAAATCTAACTAGAATGGAAATCACAAAACTGTGAAACTGGTGTTTCATCTATGTGTCATAAACTAAGAAAGCTCAAACTTGGAGAAGTATCAAGTAAAAATACATTTGTACAGGAAACATACAAATATACATGTTTCTAAGGATTAATAAGCACTGTACTTAATCATTGGAATAAATTAATAGATGCTGTACATCATCATTGGAATAAATTTCAAGTGAAAGTGTACCTCTGAGCCAAAAAGATTAATTCTGAAAGTGAACTCACAGATCCTATGGAGATAGTCACCCTGGATTGTCAGGATTCTTGGAACATTAAAACCAAAAGTGCTGACACGTATGTTAATAGTACTTCCCCAGCTCATTGCAGCTGTCCAAACTCTTACCTTTGCTCAAATGATCCGTTCTGAGCCTTTTCAGTTAGCCATCACGACTAGCGCATATATTTTCTCCTTGCTTTCCACTATAATTTCTATTTCTAATATGTCAACAAAAAATTAATTTTATCATGAATTTTATCATTTTATCATCTAAAAATACTTATAGCATTTTCTTACTTGCATGAGTACTGAATATGGAATTACGTTTTCTTTGAAGAACATATTTCAACTTTATTTTCTAAAATAGTTTTCTTTATTAGAAGTCTGAACTAAACATGAATGTGATCAAATACATAACAAAAATCACATTGCATAAAGTGAAAACAAAATTGAGTCACTGTGCTAATAGAATTTTAATTAATAGACTGTATCTAAAATATATATGCATAATTCACAACTAATATGAAATGCTAAGATATTTAATAATTAGCTAATCCTTCCTGCTTCAAGCGTTAGTATTTCATATGGACTTACAGTCACATTCCGGCTGCTCCACTTCCCATCCAGTTCCCCTCTTTTGGCTTGGAAATCAGTGCAGGGTGGCCCAAAGCTTTGTAATCATATACCCATTTGGAAAACCTAGAAAAGACTCCTGATTCCTAGCTCCTGATTTCAGATAGGCTCAGCTCTGGCCACTGGAGCCATTATGAGAGTGAACCAGCAGATGAGAGATCTTTCTGTCTCTCCATCTCTCTGTAAATCTGCCATTCTGATAAAAAATATATATAAATATTTTTAAAAGAACATCTGTTTTAGGATGTCCTTTTAAAATTTTCTAAATCTCCCCCTCATTGGGGCAACAGTGGTTTAACACCCTGAGAGGCCTGCCAGAGTTCTGCCATCCATTCCTGGTTTGGTTGGAGGCAAACTCCGCCCTCCTCTGTGATAGACATCATCTACCTAGATGTAAAACTGTAGTATTTTCAAATGTCAAATGCAATAATTGCCAAGGAGTCAGCTTGCATTTACCTGTCCTGTAATGAATGGGCTTATATTCTGATGCTATATGCTAATCCTTGCATAGTTGCGATGCCTTCTGATTGATGTAGACCAGCAATTTATGCAGCTCAAAAGGAGTTTCGCGTGTTCCATTGAGTTCATGAGTATGTTGAGCTCAAGTATTCAAACTAAAGTTTCTAACTGAGCACACGACCTACTAGGTTGGGAAGGATTATAACCATGTTATGTTTTGTCATCTAGACTTCAACAAAGAGAAGCCTTACAAGTACCAGGCTGTACATCGAACACCTGATGATGTCTACCTTCTATCAGGAACCGTTAGATGGACCCCCCCCACTCCTGCTGTTACTCAACTGCGTCCCCTCTCAGCAGGAAGCAGCCAAGATCAGACAACTACGGCCCCTTTCCTTAAAAGCAGCTGGGTCCAGTCCTCTGTTTGGACATATAGGAGCCAGATGGGATGATAGGCAGTTAGGGTCTCCGGTTCCTGGTGAAATTGTCTTGTATACATGTAACCCCTTGGCACTGAGAGATTCTTGAATGTTAATATTTTCAACGATGCTTGTACATTGTTAGTTATATTACTAAGTATGTTACTAAATCAAAGATTTGATTAGTTACTAGAAAGAGGGGGGAATGAAGAACCTAGGCGTTTTCTGCCTTTTGTGATTCCACCTTAATGGCTTGGCTGGGGGCTGTGTGAACCTCAGGCCTGATAGTCTACGTGACACCTGGCAGGTCACGTAGGCAGACCACTCCTCAGGAAGGAGGTACCTGGTGTTTGATAAGATTCACAGCCCAATAGCTCATCGATTTGTACTTTTTGAAAATTGCTTGTTTCAAACCCACCAATAGAAGCCTACTAAATCATGACTGTATAATTAATAGCCTGAAATGTATAAGAACTGGGGGGCTTGGGCTCTCGGCCCTTCCTTCGCTCTTCTGGCTTGCGCTTTTGTCCTGCTTGTGGATCCTTGCAGCCTTGGCTGCGGCTGCCCCTCCCCCGCCCAGCCATGCTGGGCTGGGGGAGGTCACTGGGTTACCTAGGCTAACCTGAATAAACCACTTTTTTGCCTCAAAAAAAAAAAAATACTCTGGTTTGTCTCCCAGCTGATCCACTTGGATCCAGCTTGCCAATAGTGGTCTAGGAAAGAACCAGAGGATGATCTAAGACATTTGCTCCACTTCTCCCACCCTCATACCTGTGGGGAAAACTGGAAAGAAGCTCTTGGCTCCCACCTTCAGACCGGCCCAGCTTTGGCCTTTGTCATCACTGGGAGCACGGACCGCAGATGAATGACTGTTTGCTCTGCCCCTCTTTCATTGTGTAACTCTTTCAAGTAAAAATAAATAAACCAGAGAAAGAGAGAGAAATCTCACTGAATGATTCACTCTAGCAGATCCTATAGTAGACAGTGCTTGACCAGATCTCCTACATAGATGGCAAGCAAACAATTACTGTTGATTATTGTAGCTTCCATTTGATTGAACATGGAACTAGAAGCATACTAGCTCTTGGACCCAGGCACTCTATTGTGAGACAGTGTCACCCATATGACCTTGTAACTACTGCATCAAACAGTCAACCTGTCTTGCTGTTTTAGTTGTTGCACTAGATGAAACAATTATTATACAAAAGATAACTAGTATTAGCAAGGATATGGAGAGAAGAAAAAAAAATTACACAAACATTGTGAGCAGATAGACAAGCCATTATATACAAGAGAGTGGACTTCTTCAAGTATCTATAACCAGATTTAATTGTACTCTTATTCAGAATGAACAAGACACATGATCAAGCTGTTTCTTGGGTGAATGGATAGAGCAATTCATCCCATGGGATCTGTCATTTCCCATCACGATTAAGTTACTGCTTAGCACACCAAGGTGCTGTATAGGGTGCATTTTTGCAGTCTTGGCCCCTGCCCCACTGGTTAGTTTCCTGTTAGCGTACATTCCAGGAGGCTTCAGTACCTAGATGACACATGATTCTCCGTCTCTGTGTCGGAAACAGTCATGGCGCCCGGGACTCCTGGCTTTGCGGTCATCCAATCTGCAGATGTTGGGAAAGTGAAGCAAGGGATAAACCCCATTTGTTCTTCCATTTGCTTTTTCAAAAAGAAATGAGCACATGGCACAGCAACCTAGCTGCTGAAGTCCTCGTCTTGCACTCGCCGAAATCCCATATGGGTGCTGACTCTAATACCTGTGGCCCTGCTACGCATTCAGCTCCCTGCTTGTCCTCCAGGAAAGAAGTTGAGGATGGGTCAAATCCTTGCGACCCTGAACCCACATCAGAGACCTGTAAGAAGCTCCGAGCTCTTGGCTTTGGATTGGCGCAGCTCTGGCCATTGCTACTACCTGGGGATGAACCAGCAGACAGATTTTCCTCTCTGTCTCTCCAGCTCTCTGTTTATCTGGTTTTCCAATAAAAATCAAATAAATCTTTTAAAAATGAAAACAACCATATTTAAATTTCAAAAAATAAAGCAATTTCAAGAATATGAGGGAAAAATGTATTGGGCGGGTCCGGCGCGGTGGCACAGTGGTTAAGGTCCTCACTTTGTACGCCCAGGATCCATATGGGCTCCGGTTCTAATCCCGGCAGCCCTGCTTCCCAACCACCAACTTGCCTGTGGCCCGGGAAAGCAGTCGAGGACGGCCCAAAGCTTTGGCTCCTGGCTTTGGACAGGCATAGTATCGACCGTTGCGCTCACTTGGGGAGTGAATCATCTGACGGAAGATCTTCCTCTCTGTCTCTCCTCTCTGTATATCTGCCTTTCCAATAAAAAATAAAAATAAAATAAATCTTAAAAAATAAATAAATAAATAAATAAATAAAAATGTACTGGGCAAATGAATATAATATTGTTATTCT